ACGTCCCCCGTAGACTCAATTTCTTCCTGCGACGGCTCCACAACAATCTTGGATGGTGGGCCAGCAAATTCGTCTCCAAGCCAAGATTTTCCGATCCATGCAGCCACACAAGTCCGTATTCGCAAGGTTTCGCACGCTTGCAGGCACCACTCGGGCCCAACGGTGGGTCATATACTGCCGACAGCTCCTTGTAGGCATCCTGAAGCATAGCCCTCTTTTCTTCCGGAATGGCCCAGAACACTTCAAGGCCATCATCGTCTACAGCCATAGGCAAAGCTCTCAACACCTTCTCCATCCAGCCGACAGACCGGTATGCTGCTCCAAACTGGTGGGTGAAGGCATTCTAATCTCCTCCCGCCGCCGTAAATTCTCTGATCAAAGGCAACCTTCGTGGTTGCTCGGTGACCACTCGCCTCGCCGCCCGAGATGACACCGCCTCTGCTGCCTCCCGCGCAGGGTTAAAAATGGTGGCCGTTGGTTGCGTTGCCACCCACAAAATGGCGGCCCCCAACCGTGTGTCCTCCAGTGCAGGAAACCCTGACCGCGGGCGGCCGCTCCACTATCCGCGGCTGCGCTGGCTGTCGAAGTCGCCGCTCTCTTCATCACCACCTGCTCAGCGATGGTCAAAAGGAGCCGATCTGCCTTCGTCACCAGGTCTTGCCACTCTTCCGTCACAGGTGCCGCTTTTTCTGCACACTCGGGCTTCATCACCTGGCTCCCGGGGCTGCTGGGGGAAGGACTTGGTCATTTCCTTTCTCCGTCTCTGAAGATGCTACAGGTGGATTCTTACCAATGCCTTTCTTCGGCAGTTAACAATAGCCACTTCTGACACCACTGTAATGTATCTCGTAGAGACACCGTCTTGTCTTTGTATATTTATTATGACTAAGGTCCGCTGACAACTCAACGAGTAACCATGAGTGACTATATACACTTGGGAAGTTACACGACTCTATTCTGGGATAACACATCTCTAGTCTCAATACAACTCAAACGATGGAGACAACCCGTTCCAAGGCAACAATGATTTCCCACACCAACAGTCCCCAGGTCTGGTTTGTGCCGGTTATTATGCCTCACCCGATCCAGCCACGCCCTTATTCCTGAATTCTCCTCTATCGTTTCATACCGTCTTTACACATGTTTAAGACAGGCCGCATCCTCTGCATGGCTCTCCCCCCAAATGGGGGCCAATAAAAAAGATACATGTTCATTACCCTACAAAAGCAGGGACTGGTTGGCAGCAGTGAATTAACAAAGGGCAGGAAGAAGGGGTGGGTGAGGGAGAGAGTCTATAACCATTCCAACTAGAGACTGGTGCCAGTCTCTAGTTGGAATGGGGTTGGAATAGTCTTTCCAGTTTGTCCAGACAATTTTGCCATGTGGGTTTGGTTTTAAATTCCATAAAAGATCAGTGCACCCGAGAGGCCTACCTCTGTACCACAGTTGAAAGTCAATAGCCTGAGAACTAGGGACATATCTGGGCACAGCCAGATGGCCTTTATGGTGCCGTGGACATCTAGGAGCAGGTCTGGGGAAGTTTAAGCCCTCCTTTCATTAGTCAGATGAAGTCCAATCTCCTCTCTCGTGGATCCGCAGCATGGCCGGGTAAAGCAGCTTTGAGTGCACACGCTTCCCTTCCCATCACCTCTATGTAAATGGAAGTTTCATGGTGCAGTCTTTGAGTTTAGGATGCAATGTGGACTGTGGAATCAAAGGCATTGGATTCCACTAGAAAACACCCTGGGAGTTAATGCCACCAGGCTGGGATCACCAGGTCAAGGCACCCCAGAAAGCTCCAAAGCCAGCCCAAACCCAAGGTGAGCGAATAAAGGTTACAGTACATCCTTCTGTTGTTGGTAATGTGCGCAAGATGGTGCTGGTATTTTTAGTTGCATATATGCAGGCTCAAATTGAGGCCCTCCCAATTTGAAATGCTCACTGCCACCAGTGGGGCCATGCAGTCTTCCCCCTGAAAGGGAAAGCCATGGCAAGGTCACATGGCCCCCTTGGGTGGAGGGTGTGTAGGCCTCCTTTTGGCTAGGTTCATGCCCCTCAGAAGGGCCCCACCGCTCTAAATGGATATCCACAGATTGAACCATTAAATAATTTCACACCAAAAACCATTCACCAATAAGTCACGTTGCCTTTACCACACTGCCCTTGCCAGGTCGGTGCATGAGGCCACAATCGTGTTGAAGGCTTTGCAGCATGAATCTGGTAAATGGTACACCCTCAGGGAGGAAAGGGAGTGCCTCCCCAGGGAGGGCTACGTGGAATGTCCTCCCATACCAAATAACGAGGACAATGGGAGAAAGGAGAGACATGTTGGGGGGGTGGCCTCAGTCTGCAGCCAGGCTCGTCGGCAGAGCAGAGGGCCATGTGACTCCCCGGAGTAGCAGCAGCTAGGACAGCTGAGATTGGTGCACGAGAGCCAAGCTCGGGCCGGCTCCTGCTGCACTCAATGGCTCTGCATTGTGCCAGCTAGCCAATTCCAACACTGGCTCGTGTAGGCCGAGAGATAGTACAAGTTTCAGATTTAACTAAAAGCAGTTCAAAGGTGTGTGGATACAGTAAAAATAGGCATCGAATCCAAGATGGGGTATAGGAAAAAGTACTTTTATTTTAGATCTGCAACGGAAGAAGCTGCAATTTGACAAGAGCCATTTCCAAAAACACATTTAAACCCAATCCTGCCTCACCAACGGTGCACATCATTAGCAGTTCTGAACAAGTAGGTTCATGTGTAAAAAGACAAACCCAGGCATTCATAAATTCAGCTGTGGGGTTCAACGCGTAGAACAAATTTAGGAACACTTGGGGGAGGCATTTAGGACCCAAAATTGATGGAAAGTGTTTGGGCCATTTCACAGCTAGACAATTGAATTTGTATTTCACGATCAACATTGCGTTTTGACAGTCTCGACACCATGTGTCTTCTGCCACAACAGGATTGTGTAAACAATGGATTAATGTAAAAGTTACATGTACAAAAAGCCGTTTCTACCAATTGGTTGCAAATGGCTTAGAAATTGCAAAGTACCAGTTAGCAAATTTCAGACCCTTCAAATTGTGCAATTAAGTGCAGAAAAGCTGTAAGTGGCATTCAAACGTTCATGTAGTGCATAGTTAAGTGGTCGTCTTCGAGTGTACAGGTTAAGTAGAGGTAGATTCTGAAAAACAGCGAAGTGAAGAACGGTTAGGGAACACAAATTAAAAGGACATCTGGGGAATGTTCAACTTGACTCGAATGCCACCTTTCATAATTTACGTGGTGATAAAATGCTAGGTATAAAAATTGCCCCCCATAATTACCGACAGAGCCGACCAATCCTGCACGCCATGCATGGGCCCTAGCTTTAGCTGTATGGCAAACATTTTTAGCTCTACCTTTGAAGAAAAAAACTTTCCATTTTCATAGATTTCACTTGACCCGACTTTATTACGTCGAGTCTCAGGTGAACAGGCCCATGGACTGGTTGAGATAAACAATGGAGCCCACAAAGCGTTCGTTTTACGTCGAAATACAAGAAATTGCCAAGCTTAAAAAATGCAACATCTTTAAAATGCAGCCAGCATAAATATAATTAAATTATTCATGGTCAACTTTAGTGTTATACAAAAAACACACACCAGCACCCTCAAATTTAAAAGCAAACATTGTTGTAATAAACAATTGTAATGTCAGAAAACACAATTTGGAAATTATATTGGAGATGTACATACCACTGCAAACGACACCAGCATCTTCACCATGAACGCAGTTGTGTTGCCCCCATGGCAGATGAGGACAATTTCCTAAAGAGGACTCAGATCCATTGCATGTCACATCATCCAACAATATGGCACCAATGCCCTGACCAAAGTAGGCATTTGATTGGGCAGAAAGAGCAGCTCCACAGCCGACCTTTCGGCAGACAACCTGGGCATCATTGATGCTCCAGTAATCGTCACAGACCGTGCCCCAGGAGCCAGCATAGAGGACCTCCACCCTGCCTTGACATGGGTTTCTTCCTCCAACCAGGCGAATTGCTGATTCTGGGAGTGATTGTTGAAAGGCAAAAGTTTCAGATATAAAATCACATGCTACCATTTGGAACCAAACTGTCATTCAAGGATGTATCAATTACAAATTCTAAACTCACCAATCGGTTGAGATGTCGGCTGGCTTTTAGTGGGTGATGAGCTTGTTTGAGCTGCAACCAATAAAGCGAATGTTAAAATGGCGTTTTCCTTTATCTGACACAAGGACAGTGAAATACACACAATAAACTGGCATTGCAATGCGACCTTTTAATACTAGACACACATTAGCACTTAAAGTTTAAATGAAACATTTTGAGATGTACACACCACTGCAAATGACACCAGCATCTTCACCATGACCACAGTTGTGTTGCCCCCATGGCAGATGAGGACAATTTCCTAAAGAGGCCTCAGATCCATTGCATGTCACATCATCCAACAAGATGGTTCCAATGCCCTGACCAAAGTAGGCATTCGATTGGGCAGAAAGAGCAGCTCCACAGCCGACCTTTCGGCAGACAACCTGGGCATCATTGATGTTCCAGTAATCATCACAAACCGTTCCCCAGGAGCCAGCATAAAGGACCTCCACCCTGCCTTGACATGGGCCTACTCCTCCAACCAGGCGAATGGCCGTCTCTGCGAATTAAAGAAATGTACACCGAATAAATTGGCAAGCTTTAATATAGACTAATGAGAAATCATAATCGGGTTCTCCTTTTCCTACAACAAAACCGAATCCTTGTAAAAAGACTTCAGTTTTGTTGAAAGAAAAAAGGGGGAAAACCCTATTATTATATTTTAGTACTGGCAAAGGAGGTCTAATGTAAAGGAGCCATCATGTTCATGCTTTCCTAATGTTGATGATTTGAAACGTAAATTTTTTTTTAACGTGGTTGTTATGCGTATTTAGGAGAAACCTCCATTAGAAAGTATGAATTTGAATCTCCATTTCTTGACAAATTGATACTCACCAGGGGGTTGGGTTGTTGGCTGTCTTGTAGTGGTTGATGTACTTGTTTGAGCTGTAACCAATTAAGATTTCTCACTTTAAAAAAGGTATTGAATTGAGACAAGTCAAGATACTGCATTAACTTTTGTAAATAAAAACAGCAAACAACCATTTAATATTAGAAAATAACATTTGTAACTATTAAAACATTTTGAGATGTACACACCGGTGCAAATGACGCTAGCATCTTCACTGTGGCTACAGTCATGCTGTCCCCATGGGCGATGAGAACATGATCCCAGAAAGGATTCAGAACCATTGCATCTGACATCATCCAGCCAGATGGTGCCAATGCCTTGACCAAAGTAGGCATTTGATTGGGCAGAAATTGGAGCTCCACAGCCGACCTTTCGGCAGACAACCAGGGCATCGTTGATGTCCCAGAAATCATCACAGACCGTGCCCCAGGAACCAGTGTAGAGGACCTCCACTCTGCCTTGACATGAGCTTCCTCCTCCAACCAGGCGAATCGCTGATTCTGGAGAGATGGCGATTGTAAAAAGCCAATAGTTTATTATAGTATCACATGCTACCATTTGGAATCAAACTTTGACTGCAGGACGTATCTATTTTACATCAATTACAAATTCTAAACTCACCAATCGGTTGAGAGGTCGGCTGGCTTGTGGTGGGTGATGAGCTTGTTTGAGCTGTAACCAATAAAGTGAATGTTAGAACGTGGGTTTTTTACCCAAGGCCCAGACAGTGCAATATTTATCTGTTAATGTAATAAACAGTATATATTAGACGCATGAGCACGGCATGTTTAAATAAAAATTTTTTGAGATGTACACACCACTGCAAATGACACCAGCATCTTCAGCATGAACGCAGTTGTGTTGCCCCCATGGCAGATGAGGACAATTTCCTATAGAGGACTCGGATCCATTGCATGTCACATCATCCAACAAGATGGCGCCAATGCCCTGACCAAAGTAGGCATTTGATGGGGCAGAAAGAGCAGCTCCACAGCCGACCTTTCGGCAGACAACCTGGGCATCATTGATGTCCCAGTAATCATCACAGACCGTGCCCCAGGAGCCAGCATAGAGGACCTCCACCCTGCCTTGACATGGGCTTCCTCCTCCAACCAGGCGAATGGCTGTCTCTGTGGATTAAATAAATTTACATTCGTAGTGACAAATGGGTCACTACGGCACCAGTTGCCAGCTACTGACAGGGGAACTGGTAATTTAGTATCCCTCTGCCAGCAGGGTACACGATGTTATGGAAAGGGTCCCTAGGGGAGCATGGTTCTGGCAGTGGGGGGCATTTGAGGACGTAGTAGCCAGATTGTCTGGCAAGGGACACGTGACAGGACAAAGCGAGGTGGGCCATTTAATGACAAATTTACTCACCAGGGGGTTGAGTTGTTGGCTTGCTTGTAGTAGTTGATGTACTTGTTGGAACTGCAACCCATTAAGATTGCTCGTTTTAGAAAGTGGTATTGGATTAACTAAGTCTATTGTAGAAACATTGTATTTCATGCAACAGAAAAACATTACAATTTAATATAAAACAAAAATTAGGACGTTGTATTTATGTATTTATAGTGCACCCACCACTGCAAATGACACCAGCATCTTCAGCATGAACGCAGTTGTGTTGCCCCCATGGCAGATGAGGACAATTTCCTAAAGAGGACTCGGATCCATTGCATGTTACATCATCCAACAAGATGGTGCCAATGCCCTGACCAAAGTAGGCATTTGATGGGGCAGAAAGAGCAGCTCCACACCCGACCTTTCGGCAGACAACCAGGGCATCATTGATGTCCCAGTAATCATCGCAGACCGTGCCCCAGGAGCCAGCATAGAGGACCTCCACTCTGCCTTGACATGGGCCTCCTCCTCCAACCAGGCGAATCGCCGATTCTGGAGATAAAGGGATTGTACAACGTTAATAGGTTATTATAGTACTAGCCTATCCAAGGATGTGTGTATTGCAGTAATCTGAAATGACCCACTCAATGATTATTTATGAGGGGGGCGGGGGGGAGCTCTATGTGGAGTGACACACGGGACGGACATTATTGGCTCATGATAGTAATAAATTACCAGGAAGTATCTGGCATCTGGGGGACAAATACATTTTAAAAACTTCTAAAAATATAATATACATCCACAAGTAGCAAGCTATTGTGAAAGCCCAGCGTTCCATTTGTCCATATCAAAATAAGGTTTGAAGTCCTGGAAATCAAACAGAGTGTTGCGGGTAAATAGTTGATCTGAAAAAGGATTCTTAAAATTGTCGGCCACCTTGCACAATATTTAACCCCCCCCCCCCCCCAATATATATACCACACACACACAATAGCGAGTAGTGTTTAGTGACTATAGTAGTTTTTACTGGCAATACAGCAGTATCTACCGACTGTACTAGCAATCAACTACTAACGCGACAGTAGTATTATTAATCAACTATCCAGGAGTATCTCCTGACTGTAGTATTTGCCAACCATAGTATCGAGTACTAGCTGTAATAGCTATACTAACTGTATAGGAGTGTAATGGTTGTAGTAGCAGGTATACAAACGCAATAATAGGACTAAATTATTGACTGCAGGAATTCATAATTTTCAGTTCTTTTGATAAAGGCAACGTAGAAAATAGTGAAATAATAATGATGGAGAAAATAAATCATGAAACAAAAACCACTAATGTAGACTGTAGCCTGGTTCTTAACCTCAGTGAGCATATTGGCAGTCTAGAATGGTCATTAAATGCTTACTCCGTTTTCCCATTACTACCAGTCTACATTATAGACTGCCAGTACACTCACTGCACTTAAGAACCAGGCCAGTCTGCATTAGGGTGTTGCGTTCCATTATTTTTACAATTTTTCTATCTACGTGACTTTACCGAAAGAACCAAAAATATCATACTTTAGATGCCGTGGTGAGGTGTGCAGAGCCCCCTGGCCTCGCCTAGATTGCCCAGCCGGCCAAAGTGGCACCTTGGCAGGCTGTGGTTGGGCTACCCCCCCCACTCTACAGTAATAGTATCTAAGCACTATAACATTGGCATCTCTCGACCCTACCGTAGCAAGTTCAAACATTGGGGTGGTGGGCCATTACACACTTTGAAGAATTCACTTCAGCGTTGTGTATTTTTTTTCGCTAAAGGAGTGCGTTGCTAGGGGCAACCACAGCTCTGCTTTGGCTGCGTATGTGTAGTTTGGCACGCGCTGAGCGGCATAAGATAATAAATAGCACTAAAGTGTCAATAACTACTTTAAAGTTAACGGATGCAAAAATGGAATAGCGCTGGCTCACCACAGGGCTTGGTGCATGGTAACTGGGCACTTTAAAAAATGTAAATCCCACGGTTCGCGAGCCAAAGCTTTTGGAAGTTTTGTCCATAGACAAAAAAAATGATGCCTATAGGTAAGATATAAGCACACATGCTATCATTTGGAACCAAACTTTCATTGCAGGACGTAGCAATTCAAAAATCTAAACTCACCAATTGGTTGAGATGTCGGCTGCCTTGTAGTGGGTGATGAGCTTACGTGAGCTGTAACCAATAAAGTGAATGTTAGCGTTTTATTTTTATCCGAGGTCTCGACAGTGCAATATATAATTAACTTCATGACACATGTGCATGTCAAGTTTAAATGAAACATATTTTGAGATGTACACACCACTGCAAATGACACCAGCATCTTCACCATGAACGCAGTTGTGTTGCCCCCATGGCAGGTGAGGACAATTTCCTAAAGAGGACTCGGATCCATTGCATGTCACATCATCCAGCCAGATGGTGCCATTGCCTTGACCAAAGTAGGCATTTGATTGGGCAGAAAGAGCAACTCCACAGCCGACCATGCGGCAGACGACCTGGGCATCATTGATGTTCCAGTAATCATCGCAGACCGTGCCCCAGGAGCCAGCATAGAGGACCTCCACCCTGCCTTGACACGAGCTTCCTCCTCCAACCAGACGAATTGCTGATTGAAGGAAAAAGTGTTAATAGCATTAGAATTGCCACCTCACATCCATGAAGAATGTTCATATACTTGATCAAACAAATGTTGTCATTTGGTTCTCACATGTATTTAACAGGAAATCCTTGCCCAAAATACGCGTTTCAGCGATACAGTTTACCCAATGAGGCGTCTATTTTGGACCACAACAGTGGTGTTTCGTCTGTTTTCATCTTCATGCCGACTAGTACTGCATCCGTTTAAAAAGGTGTGAAGGAGATCAATAACGATTAATTTACAAAATCTATACCAGGAATGTGTTTTTTGTGTAATATGTAACACATAAATGGCACATTGCATCTAGCTGCCCTTCTGTAAAAGACGCCAGTCATTCAGATTCCGAGGTGGTGACCCATGACCGTTCACGTGACACTGTTAGGAGCGATCTTCTGGCCGTCAATGGGAAGAGTAATGGAGACGGGTTTTGTTTTGGAGGCGATAATGAAAAATAAAGTATCCACAAGAGACGCGGCATCTTTTAGGATAATAGCAAGGGTGGAAATCTAGGAATTAGTTAAAGAAAGAGGGGGTGGTCATTTTGAACTTGGTAACAAACCTATTTTTGCTATGAGGTGTATTATTTGTCGAACACGGTTGAGCGACATGTAACCCTCAGCGAGTTCCGACTACATTGCCATTAATCATCAAGCCGTCTTTATTCTTTTCACCGTCTTGGTTTTACTTTTCGTTTTTGATCGCGTAAATATTAATGTGGCCAGACCATCACGAGTCATCCACATTTCAGAGGGTTACACGAGTTTACCGAAAGAACCAAAGGAGTAGACCTAATTAGGATAATCTTTTGAAATGATAAAAATAATATTTTAACCGCCGGTGGTGATTAAATTCAAGCAGCCAACAGGTATTGCGATTTTTTTGCACCAAAAACGGCCAGATGTGCGTGCATGTGCAACACACACAAGTTATGGCGATTAACTGTAGATAATTCAACCAATAAAAGAGATCAAGTGGAAGTTATACGAATACATTAACTCCCCGCCCCTTCTCTCCACACGCAATTGGCTCACAAGTGACACCACATGCATCCTTCCGTTTAGGACCGAAACAAGATTTCTCTACAATGCTGGCTGTCACCTGATGAGGCTGGTTGTAATTACCAACGAAACTGTATTCAAAATGGTAAATGTGGGTTTATTTGCAATACCGGTTTGCGGAACTAGTAACACATCGTTTTGTTTACGTAACAAACCTCACGAATTCGTTGCCAGGTGGTGGGTTTAACAAAACCCATTTATATTTACATGACTGCAGGAATTCATATTCTTTGGGTCTTTCGGTAAAGTCACGTAGACTGCACGAAACAAAAAATATATATTTTACGCAATCTAACCAGAAAACATGTATACTTTTAGGGAGGTATAGTGTTATACTAGTAGGAACGAAGTGAACCAGCCAACAATAGATTATATCGTCCGTCTGTCGTCCAATTAGGTGTAGCAACATCGCCCCCTACTGCAAACACTTGGCAGGACCCTACAAAAACCTTGACTCGGTGAAGATTTCCTGGCTACACAAGTGTAACATTCCCTTATAATTCCCTGAGATAATTTTTAATGTAAATGTTTTAATTAAAAACTAACTCACAGCGGCCTAAAGCCTACAGCTAGGCCTAAAGCCTAGAACTAGGCCTCAAACTCTCCCTTCGTATCGTACCCCCGCCATTTTATTATAGCCATTCATTTGTTCGTTCCTACCAGCCCACCCCGCAGGGACCCCTTTCATATTTGAGCAAGGGTCACACAAGGACACTTTGAACAAAGGAATCAATGACACAGCTGGTGCATAGCCAGGTGCAGGAAAGCATGGGATTGGTTGAAGACTTGGCTAAAGTGATTTGGTGGGAAACAGAAAATGAGGGGAGAGCGAGGTGGAGAGAGAGACCAATGGACATGATTGGTGGAAAGGATGAAGATTAGAAGGACCTCCCAGAATTTTCCAGAAGGAACGAGGAGGTTGTACGAAGGGGGTGTGACGTGTCTTCAGCACGTTTTCGCTGGGGGAGCGAGCTACCACAAGAGTATGCATCGTGTTGCATGGAACACAGTTATCAAGAAGACGCGTCTGGACAGCCCTTTAATATGTAACAGAGTTGTATATTGATAAAATCTGACTAATCTTTAATATGCAATATGCACATGTTTACATAACATGCATATCCTTGCAAATTGTAAGCATCTTGTATGTTGAACTTCTTTTCGAACCGTACGTAGCCAACCGTGCAAATTGGAGGCGCAGGGGACGGAGAACAAACATCTGTTCTAAATACGTTTTTAATCTGTTGTCAAAGTGCATGTCAAAATCTGATCCGAGCATGGATCCAAGGACAAAACAGTGTTACTGCTTTCTGTAATGTGGTGAATTCTTTGTACATGGTTTTAGGATTTCTATATTTCAGTCGTTAAAAAGGTATGGATTTGGGATACCTTGTCCCGTGAAATCGAGCGGCCTTACGAGTGCTGTTTAGAGCGTGAATTGCACATTCTTTCAGAGTGGTCGGATTGTATCATCATACCTTGCTGAGCCGTCACAGCCTGGATCGTGAGGACGAGGAGAAAAATGACACCAGACATGATGCCCTGGTTTTACTCGCACCTTGGTTTAAACAAAGACAAAGACCTTCCAGTAAAGCCTTCAGACTGTTGGGGCAAGCACTGTTACAGAGCACCTATAAAGTCTGACACGGCACAAGAGGGTTGATGGCCACCCCACCAGATTCTCATGAGGCAGAGTCGATCGATGTAAGCCCAGAACCAGATCAGATAGTCACTGATGTGCGTTTCTATCTACACGATTAAACAAATTCATAATTATTATTTTAGTTATTGAGAGAAGTACGTAAAAAAATCCATTCGACAAAATAGCATTTACCGTTTCCCCCCACATATAACCTGCAAAAATAGCGTTTTGTGCAAAATAAATCCGAGATAGCCCGCACGGATTCATATATTTAACGTCGTTACCGCAGCTTAATTCTATCATTAATACGAAGTTTACATGTGTAATACATTCCACTATCAATTGTTAACGTTAAAATAATAAAGTGCACAAAGAAAACAAACCGGAAACGAGCATTTTTAAAACAGTTAAGTAGCAAAAATATATCAAATAAATATTGTATATACAATAAATAAAGAAAAAACACGTAACTGGTAGATAAGCAAGTACAGATTTAGCACTGGTAGATTGCGCACTGCACAGACAATAGCGGCACTACGGCAACGCCATTGCCTCGCCCCCAACCCCCCCACCCCTCCCGTCGCCGGTAAACAAAGTGCGTCCACTTCAAACAATTTGTTTCTTTGTACAAACAATTCGAATAATTTAAAACGCGATAACAAATGCAATTTTAGTGCGAGTGGTTTATTCAGCAGTGCTTTAGTCAAAAGTAAGTGTTGCATAGGTGGATCGTCCAACAATGAAACAATTAAAACGCAAAATATTTCTGGGATAGCCCTGCACCTCTATATACCCCGCAGGGTCTTGTTTGTATAAAAGTGGTCTCACCCCACGGGTTATATGCGGGAAAATACGGTAATCGAGCCAATGATAAAATGAGATTAAAACTGCCATGGTTTGGTTGTCAAAGCCAGGAAACCACTTGGGCTATCGAGTGTTAATTTAAATGGCAAGAGATAGGAGTGGGGAAAAAAGGCACACTTTTGGATATCGACATCTCAGAACAAACTATGAATGATTTAATATTGATGCCAAATGATTTGTTCGTGGCTTGAGCTTTAAGTCAGGTAGATTACCTTAAACTGCATTGAAAAGCATAAATATATTCTTGTCACCATCCTCGCTTAATTTGTATGTACAATGAACACGATTGAATTTATTAAATGCTTAAAATTTACTTAGAATAGGACTTTATGGACTGCATTGAATTCTATACCATTCACTTTCATAATGTATTTGTACTGCACAGGTTGACAATGTGTTAGCAACGCAGTTACGGAATTTCCTGAGGAGGAAATAGTCAGACCTTTTACGTCTATACAAAGGACATTGTAAGTTGATATGAGAGAAAAGGAGTAATCACTCAAGGCGATAGAAATACAAGGAGGTAACAATGCCTTTCAAATTTTAAATGGTCACTCATTTCGTACACAAAATACTTAGCAAAAATAAAGTCCAGTCAAAAGACGTTCTCACCAGCCTTTGTTGCGTGTATATATATGTGACACAAGAGCATGAGGCACACATGGGTATTGCAAATTTATCACATTTGAAAAACTACGTTTGTTTAAAAAGGTGCCACCTTGTGCCGAGGCGATTCTTTAAGGCTTTGTTGAAGTACAAATGTAGGAAATGCCCTTCGAGTGTATAATAATTATAATCATAGCTCGGATGCACTTTTAACGCAAAAACAAGTGGACAATGGGGATAAATAGCTCGGTACAAAATGTGAAAAAGCCCATTTCTCCCTTCCCATGTACGCAAGTTACTTTATTACGTGCTGCATTATGTCAAGGAACTAGCATCTGGTTTACTGTACGATATACCTGCAGCAGATTATACAGCCCAATAAGGTGCACGTTTGGTACTAACAAAACAGCATGGCAACCCATGACACGTAACGTTTTTCGTGATGCACATTTTAAACGGTAAAGACTAAAAACTAGTCGAATGATAGACAGTGCCACATTCCACCCACCACAAGCTCAACGTCAACATAAATTACCGCAATCGGCTTCTTTTTGTTAAGAGGAAGCCCTACAAAAATCTTACCTACCGCAATACCAGCACCCTAACACCACCGCCTTTCTTTCCACCAACGATAGTGGCTAGTAGGGAACCTGTTCTCTTATAGCGGTTTGTGTCGACCTCGTTATACGGGAATTGGCTTCTAAGCGAGTGGCCTGCGATTGACTCGTGCAACTCTCGCGCGCGCAATTAGTCCTGCAGAGAAGAGGCACGCGGTCTGATTGCAGTCACTTCATATG